CCGTTGAGAAATGGTGGAGATCGTGTTTTTAGTGTGACAGCAGCAAAAATCACGGATTGGTGTCACCTGCCATGGCTGCCGACATCGGACATTAAATTTAACAGTGTGTTTCGTTGCAGCTGCAATCCAGAGACGACCTCATCACTATTGCCGGCACTCTTTCGCTACTCAGAGATGGGACAATGATGGAACTGACAGGACAAATTAGAGATTATCTTGCAGGAAATCCTGAGTGCGCCAGTCAGCCAAGATTTGTGGGACTTCTTGGGGGCAAATGAGCGAGTGCCATCAGTAGTAGTTACAGCGTCGGCAGCTTCAAATTCGAGTCAACCATGCACTCAACCCCACATTCAAGTCACAGACTTGACAATCCACCTAGTGCTAGTATGTATCAATACCTACATCAACACACTACATTCCCGAGCCCTCAGCATCATTTTACACAGCATTAAAAAAATTTCATTTAATGGTTCTATATACTAATTCTCCGTACGTACTGTAGCTCACAGACTTACCAGTAGCGTCCCTAATCAGTTGCTCACGAACTTCTTAACATCTGCTGAACGGACTGTGAATTTGGCGGGTGTGACTGGCTGTTACTATTCATGACATGAGTGTGACTCACGAAACAATGGACCATCATAGAGGTGTAGTAAGTGATAGTACATCAATCTTGTAACTATCATTAATTAACGCATTAAAATGACATGATGGCCTGCAATCATTGCATGCTCACATGCAGAGTTGAGATTACACTTACCTGAGCTGTACAAACAGGTGGGATATCACTGGAACATGTGACCATGGGTTCAGGGTTGGAGAGACTGTTGGGCTCTTCAAGAAAACTTGTCAAATGTCTTGGGAACCAATCTTGATAATCCTCTGCAAGGTCCATTTCTCGAGGGTGGGGACGGAGGACAACTATAATCATGATTAGAAACAACAGCATAGCTGTAATGGTGAAAGTCCATACATCACTGGCTGCCCTCTGGCCCCTCTCCTCTGCCAAATGAGAGTTTGAGGGACTTTGCTTCTACAATTCCCAATGCTTCTTCTGAGGAAGATTCTCTTCGCTCATTGAGTAAGTTGGACAGATGGTTGAGTGTGAGTTTTGAGAGAATTCTTGATAAGAAGTGAATGGTCAGTACGTACTTAGTGTGGATAGGCAGCTACCAGACATGTGTAAAATTTGAATTACCTGTTATCAATTGGCTGGAGTAGTATACCAATGTACATGTGATGGCAGTGGCAGCCCATGATGCTGGAGCCTTATCAATCACTGAGATAGGTTGATCAAGCAATAGACCATCAGGGAACCTCGCTGTTGTTAGGTGCCAAGTACTTGTGCAGTCATACTCGTGGGTCACATTACTGGAAGAACAAAAGTTCATTCACTACTACAGACTAGCTGCAAGTAAGAGCACAACAATTCAGTGAGCTGTGCTTTTGTTTGTGTATGTTTGGTTCATGTTAGACAGTTTGGCTCAAAAACAGTGTCCTACAGTGTACGAAGCACTTTTCCGACCTCTCGGATTAGCCCGAACTCAAAAATGTATCTAGTCCTCGAAATTTGACTGCTTTGTACCGTAGAGTAGCGCAAATGCATTCTTTTGACTTGTAGATTAAGGCTACCTCGTTCGAATATTGAAAATCGAAGGGTTGAAAAAATTTCCGACGAAATTTGAAACATGTTGCAAGAAATGGTATTTATGGGTAACTGAGCAGGTATACAAGCAAGCAGATGGTAAATACAATCTACAGAAGCCCTCTGCTTGCAGTTTCGGCATCCAGTGAGGCCAAAATCTCTGTCATGAGCCCAACACGACGGTGGGAACGGTACTTCTTAACTGCGAAGGCTGCTTGGTGAGCATCGAGTCCTTTCCTGTTCAAACTTCAGCGCTGCCACATGACCACTCGAAAGCATCGATAAACGTACCGGTAGGCATCCATATAACGCCAAGCTTTGCGGAAAAAACGGCGAATAGTCAAAACATCACACATGTCGAGACATTGCGGAACCAGTGTTTTTGCCGTCAAGAATTTCCCATCAGTGACATTTCGATAGCCTGTACCACGCGGGAATATCAATGAGTCAAAATCACGACAGTAAACCGAGAAAAAACTGACGGTACTTGGCATATCCCCAAAGCATCTCGATGGGGTTCAGTTCACAATGGAACTTCGGAAGAAAAAGGCAAACGTGCCCGCGACTCTCGATGTAATGCTGGATAAGTGGCTTTTCATTGACGAAATCATCTTGAAGTGAGAGTACGCGGTACATGCAGCACCAATTATTGTCTTCCGAGTCTGTTTCTGGCTCATCCTCTGCCTGTAGCTCACCTGTTTCAGGTGCTTCTTGTCCGAGTGCCTCCGCCAATGCGAGTCTCCGTTCTGCATCCTTTTTTGCCTGTGACTTCTGACAACGTTGACACTTCCCAACCACCTTCCCATTGTGCTGTTCCATCAGCACATCCCAAACTGATTGCCGTTCTTGAAGAACGACTTTCATTCCTTTTGGTCTCCCAGCCAACTCAGGGTCAGGATATGTTGCCGAGTATACCATTTGCTGTGGCATTCCACGCATGTCAGATTGTCCAGGTTTCGGAGGTGGATTATTGAGTGGGATAGTGGTATCACGTAGGTGGCTTTGCTTACCACCACCTTTCACATTCATGTTGTTCACGTTCAATGCATTTGGAGCAAGACCTTCATGAGCGGAAGAGCAGTCGAAAACAAAGACAGCAACCTTGTTCAGATGCAAGAACTCGAATATGTCGACAGCATGAATCGTTTGGGTCTGAAGCTGAGGAAGATCCCAATTTGCATCATGGTTTTTTCCTGGATAGATGATTTTTCGAGCATCCGTGACCTTGAGCTGTTGGTCAGGTGGAAGAGTAGCTTGTTGCGCGAGTTGTTCTTCTGACAAAGCAAGTCGGCCAGTTGTTTCGCAAATGAAATCAGAAACATGAATTGCACGACCATTCCCCTTCCTTTTCAAAGGCTGTTCATCACCACAAAGCCAAGAGCGACGTCGGTATTCATTCGTATGAAAAATTGACTCATCCTGGGTAACGAGGACATGCTCTTGCTCATCGGGAGTGAGGGATGGTGGGATGGGTGCGAGAGTTTCATTGTTGTATTTTGTCATCAATCTGGTATGAGATGTGGTAAGTGACACATATTCGACAGTCAGATAATGCCGACTTACCTCTCATATCCTGCTATTTTCTCAAGGAATATTTTCCGTGCCTCCACGACATCATCACGTTCATGTCCATCATGGTATACACCTTTCTGGACATTCTTGCAAGTGTATCCAAGTTTCTTCAGCCAGTTTTCTGCAGTACGTTCACTGATGTGGCTGTTCGGACCGGTTAAGCCAAGTGTAGGTGCAATAATTTCGTTGACGTGGCGACACATGGCACTTGGAGTGATGGTACCCAGCTTCTGCATTGCAAGATACCTCCGCACATTATGAACAACTGCCTCGTTATCCAACAATGTGTATTGTCCACGGTGATTACTTTGCTTTGACGAAGGAAGACAGTGATGTTGCAGAAGGTAGAGTTCATTCCTGCGAATTTGACGTGCAAATCTTCCTCCCTCTCGTGCTCCAGTGCCCTTCTTTCCCTTACCCATCCGTCGTGCAATTGCAAGACTTGCACTCAAGCATGGAGTTTTACACTTTGGATGATGGCAATACTGCTCTCGGAGTTTGACATATTGTGTCACTGCGGTAAGTTGAGTAATCATCTTCAATGATTTCTTTGTCCGCAGGTTTTTGACTGTCCGAAGGCAGGCATCCGCAATCTTAAATATGTCCATATCCAGCGCAGTTTCGACATCATCATGATCATCCTTCAGCCACTCTTGGGCCATGGACGCCAGCAGACTCTCATGATGTATGTCATTCACGTCTTCTGATCCAAATGTCAGGTCCAAATTTTCCATTTCCAGCTCATCGCCATCGTGAATGGCCTTATGTGTACGTGGAATGAGCCTATTAAAGCAGCAAGATTATTTCATTGCTTACCTCAAGGTATTCATCTGGATCAAATTCTTCATTCCATGGAATTGATATGATACCGTTCAGCTCGTCTTGGAGTAATGACACGCTGTATTCCATTAGGTCAAAACCCATTTCCAGGGAATATTCAAGTGCTGGATCTTGCTGTATAGGCTCCACTTCCTTGGCAACAAACTGCTCCTTTTCAGACATGAGAGTCATATCTCTCTAATTAACTTGATGTAAGTCTCAGAAGTCACTTATGTTATCATCCGAACCTTCACAAAAAATGTGTCTATTGTCTTTGCTCCACTGGATGCTCTGTCCCATGAGGACTTCTTCCTCCATTGAGATGTCCGAGAGTTTCCCTGGTAAACAGCTGGCCTATTTACAATTTTCTGCTTCTTTCGCTGACACCAGGCTTGATGGTAAGCATTGCTGACGTTCTATAGATAATAGAAATTCGGAGACATTCACCTGTGGTTCTCCATCAGACCCAGTTAAATTATTGTCCTTGGCTCGAAGATTTGCAGGTAAAAACATGCCATAGAGGCTCTGTAGGGCAACAATGGACCCAGATATATCATCTGCCTCAACCTCGCTCTCCCCACTAAAGCCAGGCTCATACTCTGAGTCTGACCCCTGTTCTGGTTGAGGTGATGGCAAAGAGCTGAATTTACGACAGTCGGCTCGTTGCTTCTTTGCTTGAGCAGCTTTCTTTGTCACAGGAGGCATATGGTAATATGAACAGGGTATATGGAGCATGGGGTAAATTTTTTCCGACGGAAAAATTTGAAACAAAATGGGAAATTTCGAAAAATTGCTTATTTTTGCTTGTTTCCTTGTAGAATTTTCATTGAGCAAAAAAATTCGTACAATTAAGCTCCCTATAGAGACGGCACTCTAGTGCTTCGTACACTGTAGTCTCAACTCTGTGTGGCACGTGATCAACGGTCTATGTTCAATTGGAAAGTTTGTGGAAAGTAGCGTAACCTAATGACGCCGCCAACGCGCGTATCATAGGCTTCTAAAAGTTCTTCACTTATAACGCTGCCAGGTCTGCTGTTTTCAACAAGTACGAGTGCAAAAAATTGAACGTATTATCTCTGCATAGCAGCTGCGAGCATCACCGTGTTCGCGATGATTAGAGCGCAAACTGTCGTGGCTCGTACACCAAATGCGCTTCTTGCTTCTCTTGACCGTTTTCATTTGCAGTCCAAAGCGAAAAGCGGTACATTCCTCTTTGCTCTTTCCGCTCCCTCAGATGCTCTGTCTATCATAACATCACGTTTAAAATCACATTTTCCTCGCCACATCGGGTGCCTATCGTCCCCGCTACCGGCGTACCGTTCGCACATCATGTGTGCTGTTGCTCTGCTGAATGGAATCACATTCCGATCGACGATTGCTGGTCGCGCTGATCCTCAGGTTGGCCGATGGCATGCTACACGGCACCCAAGTCTACAACAATTACCCGCACGACAGTCGAACGTTTTCGAGGAGTTGAACCGAGATTTCGGCAGAGTTAACTGGGAGGACATATGGGATGGAAGTGCCATGGCTGCTCAAGAGATGATGCCAGTGGAGCTGAGAACGGCGAGGTGGGCTTGAGGTTGCTCTGTTTCCATAACATCTTGACTTTACGCATTCTCCAGGCCTGAAGATGTGTCTTCTATACTGTATTTCTCGGACAAAGCCCCGGAAGGCATTGCGAAGGTACTGAAGGCAAATTTTCCCCATTCACATGAGGCAGGTACATCATGGCATCTGATAGAGCAAGATACTTACACTATTTACCCGATCAGCTAGGTTTTTTAGCGTCGTCGACTCCTTTCATCACAGGTCGACCAGTCACACTTTTCCACGATGGCAAGATATACTCAGATGGGGCAGTCGGGATTGCCCTTCAACCTTCTCTAGGTCATACTTCACTAAAAGTCGAATTCCCTGGTCTGGTCGATCTGACTCCTGATTTGCAAATAACAAGGTACTATTTTTCCTCCTGCGCTCCTCGTGTGCTTAGTAGTTTGAGCTCTGAGGGGAATCTTATAGTCGCGGTCAATAATGGAAACCCTACACGCCTCCTCCTTGCTGCAATGAACAAATATGGCCTTGACGCTCGTGACATCCTACTCAAGGACGATGAGTTCTATGTTAGTGTTATGAGTAATGGCAAGGTACGAAATCCACGCTCATAATTAATCAAATGTACATCGTTATGAACGAAGGTAGAACGATTACACCGTATAACCTCGGGCGATCCTTCACGTGGCACCATTGCCCTCGGGACAATGAGTGCACCACCGCAGGGCTCCATCATAAGAGTGAGTTTTTAGACATCTGAATGATTATACGCCTAAAATTCTGACAGATGCTTTATTTGCCACGGAGGGATGATGTAACCACCCTGAACTTGAAGCCAACGCATGAAAACACATCCATCTCGTTCATCGCGACACCTGACTCCCTTGGTGATGGGCCTCCATCCTCGGTCCTGGATAACGACGTCCTGGTTATTGATGGAAATTTCATTGCTGGATCTGAGAATGGGTTTATGTTGAGAAGAGGCGTCAGAGAAGAAGGCTGGACTTGTACGCTCCCTGGTGGACAGGCCTGCCTGCGTTGGATATGAAACAAGCTGCGGGCGATGTTTCTTTTAGTCCACCTATGGCAGAGCCTCCCTTGGCTTTCTGTTTGTCAAACTGTTTTTTTGTCTCATCATTGTTTATGATACCTCCCCTTTGATGATACATTAAACTTAGGATTGGATTTGAAGGTTACCGGTACACATAAGCACGGTTATTACCGGATTCCAAATAAAAAGGAAAATGGCAAAGTCCGGATTCTAGTGTGAATCTACACTTGGCCTTTGCAAGCAAGGTGATACTTGAATTCCCGTTTTGGCTGGGTATACCGTGTTGTTCGTACTTTCCTCAGCCCGACAAGCTCTTTTCAACGCACAGACCTCTACCGTCAATGTTACACAGCGTCAAAGACGACTTCGCCACCACTAACGATGATCCCCCGTCGTTCAGTGGTCAAGACAGCGATCCCGAGGGAGGTGCCGATGACTTTGAGGTATTTCCTGAAGATAAGGAGAACGCGGTGGAGTCGATCCAACAAGGGGATGCTGCAAGGGAGATTGAAATCATGCGGTCTTCTGTTTCTTCTAGTGTCTCTTCCTTTCAAGACGCTGAGCCTGACAATGGCGAGACGCATGATGTAGCTCCTGCTCTTCCACAAGCCCGTCGCCCTTCAGATTCTGATAGTGGCGAATCGGAAAAGGGTTTGAAGCGAAAGCTTGCTGACCGTGGCACGAGTCAGGGGCCGGAAAACCTAGTGCCTTTGCCCTCTGCCGAGCCTACCAAGCGTCCTAGAGATGATACCAACAAAGATGACAACCCTCGCGAATCAAAGAGACCGTCACCTCCTCCCGAACAAAAACCTGCAGCAGCAGAGACATCTGCACTCAAATTCGTTTGTCGCTGCCTATTATTCAAGAGGCTTTGCTGATGAATTTCTTATCAGGGAGGATTTATGGCCTATGCTGCCGCAGCATCTCCATTTGCTGCTGTCAAAGGTCAGAATATATTTTCAGGAGCTAGTTCCAGCACGTCCAAAAAGTTGTCTGTTTCGCCATCGCCATCACCTTCACCTCTGCCGACGAACAATGCCCCTACACCCTCTCCGTTTGCGAGCTTCGCCTCCTCGCAGTGGTCGGTACAGCAGACGCCGGCGAGCACCGCGACCAAGCGTACGGGCTTCGAAGCCTTTATAAGCTCCGCTTCTCCCTTTGCGACAGCAGGTGTTTCTGCTCTCCCTTCACGACCCAAATCACCATTACGTGCCAGCGGAAAAAGCGCACTCGGAAGGAGTAGGTCGCCCCCGAGACGTGCTCCTCTCAGCATGGCCAGTGCATTCTCATCATATGCCAGTGGTGGCGTGCAAGCTTTGTTTGCTGCGCCCCATCCCAAGCGTGCAAGGGCAGAGTCGCCCAACGGGGGGTCGTCGCGGAGTTCTCTTGAACGGACAAGCAGCACTAGACTGAATGTATTGGATTCAGCATGGAATGGAAGCGCAGATGAGAGCGGAAGCGGAGAGGAAGACGATGATGAAGAAAATGAGAGACCACCTTCAACATTTGGTGAGAGACTCCGTGCAGGTAGGGATGACGAAGAAGATGAGCCCGATGAGGAAAAAGAGCGAGAGAAGCTTCAAGAACAGGACGGTACGATGTTTCAATTTATTCAAGTACAGATGTCTAAACATGTGGCAGTTATAACTGGCGAAGAGGATGAAGAGACAATACACCACGTGCGCGCCAAGCTCTATGCCCTATGCCCCCAGAATCAGTGGAAGGAGCGAGGGACTGGCCTTCTCAAGCTCAATGTCCGACGTTCAGATGGTGGTGGTGCTCGTCTTTGTACGCAGGTTACGTTATCTTCTGAGCTAGTTTCACTAACGTTGAGTATCAGTGATGCGCAAAGAAGCAGTCTACACAGTTATACTGAATGTTACACTCTTCTCCGGAATGAAATGCTTTATTGCACAGGATCCAAGATATATCCGGTTGAGCGTTATCGAAGATGGGGTCACGATACATTACAACCTCAGAGTCAGTTGTTTTCATTGGCATTATCTTCATAACATCTGTAATGACCCTCTCGCAGGTTTCAAACGCGAAGATTGCACAAGATTTGCTAGAGGAGATCAAGTCGAATATTCCAGCTTGACATCCAAAGTACCCTTATGTTACTTTACTGTTCATCATGATCATGCCTTGCTACATTTAACATTAATGTTGTCTTTATGTACAACCACAGGACGCTCGCTGCTCCCTATATTGCATGTCCACTGGTGGCAAGGAGCCTCAGAATCACTCATCCCATGGTCCTAAATATTGCGCTTGGAGTTCATGGGATGTACATCGCGTTCGACGACAGCGCCCTCAAAGGCCTTGGAGAACTTATCACGGACATACTTTCCATTGTACGTTGACCGATGTTTGTGTAGCTTTAAACACGCATTCACTGGCAGTGCTCAATGAAGTGATCTACCATTTAGATCATAAGGAACAACTTGAAGGTAGCGTTCGTGTTGCGTTGTGATACAGCGGCAAGTTGAACCAAACTTGCAAGCCTTTTCTATCTTTATGAGCCTCAGCGACACCTGTCGATGACTTGACAAAACATGTTGGATGATTGTTGGCTAAATTGACGAAACTGGTACTCGCGATCAGCAGTCAGGACCTAAAGGGTCAGCTATAGACCAGTAGAAGGGTTTGATGATCCCGCTTGGCATGCCACAATGACCGCTTGATGACAACTCTACCATTTATTTAGTGCAGATCCCAGAACTACCGGTACCAGATGCATCCCAGCTTGTCTTGCGACCCCTGTCACAGTAACGACATCAGTCAGTACTTTCTCGTTTACATATACAAGCGGCTACTCACACGTCGAACAGGAATCACAATGCGATAGATGACTGATGCAAATTCCACCCATGATGACGGAGCGTCAGGTGGATTTCACATTAGACGCTAATTATCTGTCGAATGTTAGTGTTGAAACACAAGGAAGCACTGTCCTAGTAAGTATGCGAAAGTATACGAGGTATATGTGAAATGCAGGAGCGGTAGTGGACGACTGAGCCTGCGCAGAATATCACGTGTCAGAATCCCTGGTATGGTCCTAAGATGGCAAATCACGGTCCTCCGGGCAACCCATGACCCGTTATTTCCTTCGTTTTTTTGTTTCTTATTCGGACCATCCTGGGGTGGCGCAACGAGTCATTCGCCGCTTTTGATACTCAAATGAATTTGTCTGTCTCGTACTACATGGGCATATTTATCACCAGGAAGATGGCATAGTATCAACGAGGAACGTTGGAGTCCAAGTCACCATCTGCAGTATCAACAAAGAATCAGTGTTGTATTGACTATCTGATATCTCACCATATTGATACAACGGAAAGAGAAAAGAATGATGAGCTGTTGCACCCTGCTTTTAGTGACCAACGGGTCGCATTAATTTAACCGTATCGATATCACTGGTGGGGTACTTACCTGGAACCGGCAAAAATGACGCAGATGGTATCATGCAATCCGACAGGACTCTAGACCGCCGCGCGGCAATCAATGATGTTCGGGATTTGGTGGGATCCTGCGCTCATTTCCTTTATAATATTGCTGCTTCTGCGGCCCAAACAAACGCGGGCCCGAGACACCATCAAATCGTAAACCGAGTCTTACGAAAAGCTGCACAAAACAGTGGAAGCCTCTCGTGCCCGTGATATTGAAAGTCGGCCAGAGAATCGACAGCGTGTCGTGGCGACTTTGATACTAAGGCCGCCCGACAAGCAAAGATAAATACAAATATGTTGTATACCACGGATCTTGTAAACCTAGTATAGCTCGGTCATACAAATCAAAAGCAAATGACCGAGTGTATTTGAGCAAACAGGCATTGCGAACTTGAAGTAATTCAACGGTACCTTTTGGACATGGACTAGAACGAATTCCCCAGCTGGAATATTCCGAACACAACATCCACATAGGCTGCGTCTGGCTGATCTGCTGTTGCAATTCAGTTATGATGCCCTTTTGATCATCGCGACCGGCATTACTTCGCTTGATTTGTGTCGTTGTCCCTCGTTCGGACCGACTGTGGCTCGAGCGCTATGGAGCGGCATGACGATCACGAAAAGGATTAGAAAAAGTATCAGACATAATCGGATGCGTGAAATGTCGCCAGGGCGTCCTTAAAAGCACGAACACAATTAGAATATGTACTCGTAGCGTAACTAGTCCTTCCGAATTGGATATCTGAACGCGAATGGCGCAATTGGTCATGAGTAACGTACTACGCTGTGCCGTAAGATAGCAGTAACGTCCAACCGGATACTGATCACAAACTGCTCAAAGCTGAAGACAACGAAGATGGCAAGTTAAACTGGATGGTGGAACGGAGGGCAGGCGAAGAGAACGTCGAGAGAGTTGAGTAACAAGACAAACATGTACAATTCGGACTAGAACTATTTTCAGACCAAGACCCTCATTTCTTAATCTTCTGAATACCTGTGTCTACTATAGCTAAGTAAGGTTACGCCTACGCATCAATCTGGCACGGCCAAGCGAGTGGCCAGACCTGGTTTTCCGACTGGGCATGGCTCAAGTTGGATAGCTGTGGGCCTGGAAATTAATTAATGGCCTAGGTATAATCTGCATAGAGTTCAGCACCATGGAATTTCCACGGACTCCGAAGCACAAGAACTACCAGGTGGGGATTTTCTACTTGGCTCTTCCATTCCTTCAGCTCTCAATTGGTGATTCGACTGGACTGCTGTTTCATGTGGGAGCTTCGGCGGGGCTCGCGACTCCCTCAATGACTCAACTCCGCTCCCAAATGTGGGACAGGATTGTACAGGGCTAAACAATGTCCACGCGCCCAGAAATTGATTTCACGCGTCGCAACGAAGAAAAATACAGCGGTAGAAAAATACAAGCACGCACGTTTAGCGCTGGAGCCACCAAGTCGTTGCTTGAATGTGGGCTGAAAGGAAGTGCTTCCCTTGAGGACATTCGACCGTCGGGCGGTTATTTTCAGGCGCCCACGCTCAGGGAACCGGAACAATACCGTGCATCTGACTTGTAACAGATAGAGACATCGGTCGCTCTGAGAATGAGGGTGTTCAAGACTGGGTGATCCTGGTCGACGTTATCCGTAGCTGACTCAGTTCTGTTCACATAGGTGTTCGTATGGAGTGGTGTAAAGCACGCGCACGCACTTCTCGGTGGTCGAGGAGATGAGACGAGTCATGGTTTGCCTTTCTAGAGTGGCAAGGGCTACTGGTGGCATCAGCGCGCGACTCTGCGCCCATTGGAGAAAACTGCCAAGCAAGAGGGCTTGCGGCAATGTGTATACCTACCCTCCGTTCTGCCATACGAAAGGAACTCATTCCTCAACTCCCATGGGCTCTATGACGGTGGACATTTCGTTGATGTCGAGCATGAAACAGGCAATAATGTGATTGTCATGAAGCTTAAAGGAACGTGGACTCAATCTCAGGCCCCCCCAGGTACTGAAGGAGTAGCTGTGTTTATGGGAAAGTGATGATTCATAGCCCGAGGCCTCATGAGTTTCTTTGTTTCGGGGGAACTATTACTACCCGCCCTGCTACAATGTATAATCCCCTTGTTCCTCTAGTAACGTACAGCAAGGGCTCCAGCGTCAAGTCAGATACAGTACGTAGTTTATGGGGAATGCATGAACCTTAATGTCTTTCCTATCTTCAAGTCATCCTTTGGGAGGTGCTAAATGCTCAGAGACATGGCCACATGTGTTTCAGACCGCACAATTCGTAATACGAGAAATGGTACACTGACCCCTGCCATTGACTTCAACAATACTTGCTAAATCGGATATCAGGAGCCACCATGCTTTAACTTTCTAAATCAGGCTAAAGCGCAAGTGGGGCCACTTTACACTGTGCGGCAGTATCTTAATATCAAAACTTTTTCATTTTGGTCGCTTCTAGAGAAAAAACTTGGTACAGCTTGTTGACTCGTGTAATGATGTAAGTTCGTTTTAACCATTGACCGACTAACCATTTCGTATGAAGGATCGCATATCTGGCATACTCATCAATCTTGCCCCCTTGCTGCCAAATCGCAAGGCAGTGAAATGCTTAGAATGGTCAAAATCACATTGACGACCTCATAACCCACAGCCCTGGAGAGTACCTGCTAAGCTAAGAGCATCGGAGGAATAGTCCTTCGACTTATTCACTTCCCAGCTAAGGGATGTGCAACCTTTCAGCGTCTGGTAAGTCTTCAAGTCGAGTTGCAGTATTGTCTCTTCCCAACGCCCCACGTGGTTCTACAGGGTCCATACAGCATTTCTACAGCATCTATACCATATATGCGCCGGTAAAAGAAAGAAGTATTGGAATATACAAGCATCTCAAGGCACCCTTGCTTGTTTCTACACCGCCCACAATCCCTTCAAGATCCCCACCCGATTCTAAGTTTCAAGGTGGCGGTAATGCAACATTACGACAAGTGCATGTCTTATCTCGTAGCCGCTGAAAGGGTCTTTTTCCTCAAGCACGGTTAACGTGCATTTATGTTGCAATAGGAGCTATGGCTCGTGGCAGAAGTCAATCCCTCCCTGACGTTATCCCGAGTTTTCCATGATAACATTCACACTTTAGGGCGTAGCTCTCCCGCCATGGCTCACGGATCAGAGAGTTGGCCAGCTGAGATTTGATTTTATCCCGGATCATATTCGGCTCAGATGGAATAGGTTTCCGATAGCAACTTGCAATAAATTTTCAAAGTGTATATAAGAACCGCGCGTCCGAACAAACGAATCAACAACCTTCATCTTCAATAATGGAAGATCATACTCCGTCGACAGTGGCGTCAAGGTTTTTTATCACTGGATGCAGACAAGCGCGCCGTAATGACTCCTTCGGGGAACCATTCCCTGAGTTTACAAACTCCCATATCGCGAGTCAAGGCTCCTCGAACCACACCAGCATGAGTTATCATGATTCCGTACCTCCATCAAGGTACGCTTGTTTTTTTCTCCATAAACAGTTTACTTCCATTCTGACCATGTAGCCTTAGCTACGATAACGGCCATCACTCTCTGATTTTGTTGGAACAAAATCGATGTCCTGACTCTGTTTGGTACTAGTAGTCTATGTTTTTCTCCCTGGAATATTCCGCTCATGAAATGATAGCCTGCCGAATGACCATTCGCATGATTACGACGGTATCATGCGTGTTCCATTATTGGATGAAACGGCTCTCTTCGTTGCAAACTATCTCCACCAGTTGCGCCTGAAATATGGGATGGACATCACTCTTGAGCAAGTAATTCGAATATGTGGTGGACAATGCGACACTCCAGGTCACCATCATCACTTACTTTCCTGTGGCGTATATCGCTCACACTACATCTGATCGCAGACCCAAAGCCTACGTACGGCCAGATTGGAATGGATGATCACTTTGTTTCGAACCACAGTTCACCTTCGGCGGGTGACACAGGTGGCCAATCTAGCAGATCAACCCGCCAGTCTACACCCAGCGAGAGGGGTCATTTCAGGTCCAGTGCCGTCGCACAGACCGATCACGAGGTGTTCCGAGACGGTGACAGATGGAAGGTTAGGTGTCACGAAGGCTCTTGCAGCGGCAATGTATTAATGAAGGACAATTTTTCCCGGCACGTGCGTGAACGTCATCTTGGTGGAAAAAGGAAGACGGGAGAAAGCTCTCTGCTGTGGCATGCTCATCCCGGAACGAAATGATAAGTATTGTTACTATACCCCTATAGTTGCAGCAAGGAAGATTGGCTGATGTGGAACCAAGGCACGGATCACCTTGGGCATCTCTCTTGTAGATACGATAGCTCATCAATTTACGTTGCTTCGTGATAATAAGACACACAGCTTCACATACACAAGCTGAGCAGAACTAAACATGATTTCTTAGAGTTCCTGTACCTGGAAGATATGAGAAATTAATCGAATAAACCTGTCCGTCGACACGACGATCCATGAATGACAGTTCACTTGGTCGCCGGTCCCGACAACCTCTTTACTATACAACATGAATCATTTGCATTAATCATGTGCCTGCAATTGAGACCCGGGGTTCTCCAGCTCGAATTTACATATGTTACATAAGTTATGTTAGCTAGTCGTAAATATTGAGTAAATAACAATTTATACTTAGTAGGCCTAGTCAATTAATTAGTCTCTGTTCACTAATTGATATTCGTATTCATTCACTGGAACTGCGCGATTGCGCCTATCCTACGATTCCACAATGGATGCTCTGATGGAATGAAAAGGGTTCAAAATCAGTAAGAGTGCGGGACTCTTCTGTTTGGATTATCATGACTGCCAAGAAAACCACGAGGACGATAAGAAGAGTGGCTATTGTCCTCACAAGTCGAGAAGCATGGCAATGAAGTGCTGTATTGGGACTTTGGACAAATGCAGACCTTGGGAGATACGACCACAACGTGCCAGTGGCAGGACACGCCCATTAATGGAGCCTCGGAGGACAAGGGCGGGGAGAGCGCAACAATGAAGAGACTAAGATTCTCTTGAATGCTAGTCAAGCTTCGACTAGCTCACAGCTCGCTTGTCTAGATCCCTAAGAGACAACGGGAAAGATGACAGAAAGGCAGGGTGTCAAATGAGGATGACGAGGGCGATGATCATGGCAAGGGATGGCTTTCCCCTGGCTTCTAGCTTGGTATAACTGCTACTTGGTGTCCTTGGTGACGCTGTCGATGACTGGTGCCGGGCCACGTCGATTGTGCCCTCCACTGCTGACCTAATACAAGCCGACGAGGAAGGCCATCGATGAAATAAATAATATGAATTGGCTGGATGAGACCGGAGAGAACGGGTACAGCATAAGGTATACGCCCGGAGGCCATCCCAAAAAAGAGTGCTGTGGCGGCAATAACCGAATCAGACACGAGGTGGGGTGCGTTTGAACTTACTCATCACTGCCGTTTACCACCACTTCGTCGTCGTCGTCGCCTTCGCCGTCGAAGAGACACTGCAGACAACGTCGAGCTCTGTACAAAACAAACTTCTACTGTATCTTAGTCTTATCCTTTGTTTCATTTTTGTTCTCATAACAGTAACAACGTTGCCATCCAACTTGGCTTTCTCTCTGAGGCTAGGCTATATACCGCCAATTTCCTACTCCCGCTCCTTTATATTCCTGCTGAATTCGAACAAGTGCAATGGGCCAAACTCCTTCCAGGGTGCAGATTCGTCGCAATGGCATTACACAAGCGAGATCTAACCCACCATCCGAATCGCAGTCATCGTCCACACCTTCAACTTCCGTTCCCACCCCTTCATCGTCATCTTCTTTGTCAGTGCCTCAAATTGCAGGCATCACAGACACGAAACGTAGTCGTCGTGCATCCCTGCCACACCGCCTTCTTTCATCGCTCTCAAATCCACGCATCCGGACAGACAGTTCAACCACTCAGTCCTCGCAGCGCAAAAAGTGGCGGCTTTCACGACGTGTCTCCAAAAATCGTACAGCCAATGACACTGCTGTTTGTGAGGTTGCGGAACCTCAAGACGAACGAAACGGATCTCAAGACTCTCCTGCGGAAGTAGAGAGCGATAAGGGTAAGGCGAGAGATGAAGCTGCGAATGACTTCCCGTCGGCTGCAGAAGCATCAACATCCCTTACTCCGCCATCAGAAGAGGTGGTCCCGACTACTACGGGTGGACGATTGGTTGAATCGACATCTGATATCTCATTCCAACCCATTCCCTCAATTTCTCGTCATTGCTCGGAGGATGACGAGAATGAAGTCGTCATTGCTCCAACTACAGAGTCATCTCCTCAAGTACATGTCCCAATCGTAAACCAGAGCGAAGGCCCACCGTTCATGCCTCCGATTGCACCCGCTGGACCTCAATCTCACGTAGGCTCAACTACACAGCCCTCCGGTCGCCAATTTCCACCCGCGGGAACACTTGTCGTCGTGCAAGGTGTCGTGCATACCACTGACGTGTCTCGCGCTTCGGAGGTAAATACCGCCAATAACATTAACTCGAACAATACGAATCCCGCGAATGATAACAATCTGGAGCCACCAGGAATTGTCAGGTCATCATCCATTGCACGCCAACGATCATCTTCTACCCCCGGTGACCGCTTGCGCAACCGTTTGTCTGGAATCCTACCCCGCCCTTCCAGCATGCTGCCATCTGTACCACTTATGTCAGAAGATGGTGCTGCCGTTGATTATCCACAGCAATTGCCTGTTGACACACAGTCAAGTACGGCCTCTCTCCCGGGCCCTAATGCAGAGACTGGTCTACCAGCCTCTGAAACATCTAGTGCCAACACCGGCTCACTTTCGCCGAGTAGCATTGATGTATTGGGAACGTTGCTCAGGTATGTATTCTATTTACTCCACAACTCGCCTGCATTATGCCCCAACCCGTCATACAATTTGACTTGATTTGTGTGTATTGCGTACAACAATGTTGACTTCTTTTTAATCAGTGTCGCGGCAGCGGCAACAGCTGCTTCTCTTCTCACAGGGACTTCCGAGCCCATTTTTTCGTCTGGACTCGCGCCCTTATCTCAATCACCAAATCAGCCTCCTCAAAGCGCGTCAGATCGGCCTTTATCGCCTACACCCACAGGTGACGCTGGGCGAATGCGTCATGTCTGGAGCAGCTTACGCGATCGCCTTGGTCTACGCACACCTGGAATGGGAGTGCCTGGTGTTGATGAGGGCACAGGTAGACCCAGTCCCCGCGATGCACGTGAGCTTCTGCTTACGGAAATGGCTCGGGCATTCAATTTGGGCCTTGGCCTAGGAAGACCGCCTGTTGTCCCTGATGTCACCAATGCCAGCGGCCCCGCGGCGCCCGTCGCTGAACCACCCTCCGCCAATGGAGATGGGACCAGTGACGTTCCCGTAATGCCCCCGCCTGGAAGTTTTGAGCGCTTCCTTATCGATCTTCAATCAGATCTAAGGGTTGCGCTTGCGCAAGACAGTAGTTCTGTTGACGCCGAGGGCAATGGAGGTGTGGGTGATGAAGATAGCCATGGAGGTGCACGCCATGAGAACGAAGACGTGCCAGATGGCACGAGTGACGAGTCTTACGACACTGCTGCATTCGACATGGATGATAACATGCCTGAGCTTCAAAGCGTTTCTGATGAGGCGTCTACTATCTCGGATGCCCACACTGCCCGGGAGAGCCCAGGCACGAACAATGACAGTCTAGGACATAGTGATGATCCAGATATGGAAAATGATAACGCCCTAGTACATGATGCCACAGCAACCTTGCCTCGCATTGCCCACGCTGGCACCCTTTCTGGAGAGGCGGGTATAGATACAGGGTCTCAGGATGCTTCATATGGTTTGTCAGGGTCCCCAACAGAACCTTCCTTATCAACTCCTTCATCTGGTCCCCCAGGTGTGAGTTCTTTCACTGAATCCTCTACTACTGCACAAGAGTCTGGCGAGACAGACATGCCATTCAGAATTCCACGTATCTCACCTGGGTCTACGCGCACTGAGCACACGCCTATCAACTGGTGGCGATTGTACCGTTTCCCTGCTATCACCGCGCCAGCAAGTCGCGGTACACAGGCGCACACGATTGTACAGCAAGGATCTGCCCCACAACCACTACCGCACGCGGATGGTGATGGAGTACAAAATGCAGCTGGTCCACCAGCCGCTCCGCCTTCTCCATCCTTTACTCCTCCAGGGATGCCGGATACTACGCACGCAATGCCAGACGGCGACCTGACCGATGGAGTGCAACCGGGTAGTGGTAATGAACAACGTAATGTCGTCATTCCTGTCATCGTCGTGGGGTTGCAATCAGTGCACGCAGAACGCCAATCTCCTATGCCTCCACATCCTCCCCATCACCTTCACCCTCATGTCCATCATCAGCCACCCGATTTCGCAGACGAGCGCCCTATCGAAGGAGATATGATGGATTTAGAATTTGGCAGTGAAAATGGGATGTCTCCACCAGCCCCAGCCCCTACTGCTCTATCAGAATTTCCTCCCGAGAATACGCGATCATCGCGCGGGCGCTCTTGGCAGTCTCGTGCGGCAGATGCCATCAGGAATTTACGTCCTGGTCGCAGGGCTGCTGTGGCAAGACAAACAGCGTCAGAACCCCCGGGGTCTAGAACATTCCTCATTTATGTCATTGGTGGTGAGTTCGCCCCTTTTTCGATGTTTTCAAATATGGACAGTTTATATCAGGCTACTACCCCCCCGATCATCAAATCATTACAGGCGGAAACTTGGATTCGTTCGAGGCATTGTGGTACGTACGCGCTAGGGCTGTGATATCGTGCCCTGCTCACTTTCATGCAGGGAACTAGCCGAGTTACTCGGTCAAGTGAAACCACCCACTGCCTCCAAGGAGGAGATCGACAAGTCTGGGCTTGAAGTGATCAGGGCAAATTCACTTGAGGAGTATGCAAAGGACGGACGTGTGGCTACTAATTGCGTCGATCGGGTATGGAATCACACCTTTATCAGCATAAGCTTGCTTACTTTGCATGTAGTGTCTCATATGTCTCGATGACTATGTGCCGGACGATGACCTACGTGTACTAAGCTGTAAACACGCATTCCACCAAGGGTGTGTGGATAAGTGGCTCCAGACAGGGAGGAATAATTGTCCTGCCTGCCGTACGAAGGTACGTCAATTTAACAGCAAACAATCACTCACTTTTTGACAAGCTGTTTCAGGGCGTCGACAATGACACCAGCCCCTCCACTGAACCGTCCGCTTCGAGTTCAGCCTTGACACCCTAGCCATCGGGCGCATGATGGCGTGCATCCTTCATTAAGCAGTATTTTCCTTGCATCATCTTTCCCGACTGTAATAAAGCTTCGCATCTGATCTGTCTTGCGATCCGTGTAGCAATTTCACCTATTCATCGCCGTTCTTTCTTCAGCTTATTATATAATGCTACTGAGTATCATCGTTAAAAACAATTTATCCAAATAGCCCGTTGTCACTTGTACTGTACGGCACATAGACATGATCATTTATCACAGTACCTGTGTACCGTCAGGACTTAGCATATAGTCAAGTGTGATACTGTCATGCACGCTTTCCGGTGACGCCAGCCTCTTTGAGTTTGGCGAGAAGCTCGTCCACATTTGCCACCTGGATATCATTGTAAGTACTGAATTGTACTATGAAGAAATGGAATATCACCTTGCCGCCACCAACGCGCTTTGGAGGTTCTGTGACTTCGATGGTCTCTAGTCTAGGCGCGATATCAACTCCAAGTTCCGCAACCGTCAACTTTTCGACAGGTTTCTTCTTGGCCTTCATGATATTGGGCAACGATGCATACCGAGGTTCTTGGAATAGGCGGAAATTAACCGAGTGATGAAATATTATATTACGAATGAAACGCACCATTAAGCCTGGATTTGAGAATGTTCGTCAGTTACTAAGACATTCATGGATAAACATAGTTCGACTTGCCGAAGATCTGTCGTTATAATGACAGGAAGCTTACACCTAAGCTCTTCAAGACCTCCATCGATCTCACGAGTGATGTTTGCAACCTTCTGCTCTGGGTCCACCTCGACCTTGCTCGCAAATGTTGCCTGTGACCACCCCATGAGGCCAGCGAGCATTTGTCCAGTTTGTCCAGCGTCATCGTCAATAGCTTGCTTGCCCAAGATTACTACGTCCACACCCTCCTTTTGTCGTTCGATGAGGGCCTTCAGAGTCTTTGCTACACCAAGAGGCTCTGGGGACGGAGCAGATTCCGGGATTTCGACGTGGACGGCAGAGTCGGCACCCATGGCGAGTGCGGTGCGGAGCGTCTCTGCGGACTTTGGTGGACCGATGGTGACAACCTTGATAGATTTCACTGCATCCTTCAGGCGTTCTCGTATCCGGACGGCTTCCTCCACGGCTATAACACACGGTCAGATAACTGTGCCTCGCCGAATACTAACGGAAAACGTACCAATCTCATCAAAGGGATTCTGTAATAACTTATGTGAGCAGACCTGTTTACGAATTGTAAACCTGCCATACCATGGAATGTTTAACATTGAGGTCGATGCCTGTCTGCTCAGGATTCACGCGAATCTTCACGGCATAGTCTACCGCCCTTCCAAACACATGTTGAGAACTGGAAGTATAGATTTTTTGATTCGTGCGTACCTCTTTATGGGGACTATTATGTTGAGCAACCGCGCAGCAGAAGGCCTCATCCTCAATCTCTTGTTAAAAAGTCAAAGAAATCCGAGTCGAGTTTATGATCTGTCGGAGTTCGGATTCGGAAATGAAGACGGAGCAGACGTGCGGTCACGGTCATCTGCAACTTGTCACAATGCTGAAGTACTCGTCCCGGTCAATTATATTCTTTTAGACTTACATTCTAAGCTGTGATGACAGCTGACTCAGTGCTCACACCCCCGACTAGGGCCGAAACCGTTTCAACTTTCTCCCTCTTCCCAGTGAGACTCGGACATTTATAGACTCAGGAATGCGGTTGTTCCTTCTGATCAATATTTCCTCTCGGAACATGTCACTTAGTAAGTTGATAACAGAATGTACGTTCTGTACGGACGGATAAAAGGATTTCGGCGGACTCATGACTTGGATGGTAAGTACTCTTTTCCTATTATTAGTTTTGACTTCACCTCTCAGTGACCGGGCACCCGATATTCCGTGGCAAGCAGAAATTCTAGATGATTGCGAACTGGAATGGTCGTTCTGGGGCCTCCCTCTTAGTGGCTGTCTGATTACTGGAACGAAGACAAAACTCTATAGCCACGCCACTCTATCGGTCATGTTATCCGACACTCTGGCACTGTAATTGAGGATATTTTGATCGTCGGCACCACCAAAATCATGCGTGTTTTTGTCGCGCGCTCCATTACGCCACCATCTATATAATCATGCACTCTCATGCTTCGGCTCCCGCATTGAACGACCTTCTACGCTATGACAGAAAGCCAGAGCACAACTTTGTCGCCTACAGAGGTCAACAGTGTGGAATTCCAGGATACAAACAGTCAAGCGCATGCAACGTCGTCAAATGAACCTATCAAGCTTGATATAGAACATGCAATAGTTGAGGATGATCCTCGAACATGGTCGAATGCGAAGAAGGCGCGTCATCTCCTCTTGATTTTGTAACTCGAGGCTGATAGATCACATCGTACAGAACGTTGCATTGTTTATCATATCTGGAGCATCGATGATCGCAGGGTTTATGCGCGAATATACAAAACCGTGAATTGTTTCCTTGATGTCATTGGAATATCGGCTGAACAGCCGGGGGATAGCCGCCAATGCTCAAATTGAGCAGCAGCTACACACCAGCAGCGGGGACATCAGCCTGAGTTTGTCTCTTTTCATTCTCATTCAAGGAAATTTCCCTGTCATCTGGAGCGCAATCAGCGAGATAAAGGGCCGCAAGGTTTGGATTTCCGTGTCTTTGAGTGTCATTCGTTAATACCGCTGAGCTCAGCTGGTGTACCTTTTCTCCGTAGCACTGTTTACACTTGGGTCGGTAATCGTGGCCATATCCAGAACCATTGGTTTGTTGATCGGTATGCGTATTCTGCAAGGCGTGGGGTATGGCAGTCCTTCAATCCCTTGATTACTTGCTCACGTGGAATAGGTCAAGCGCCGTTATCGCTATCGGAGCTGCCACTCTGGCCGACATATACGAGCCGCATCAACGAGGAAAAATGATGGGTGTTTTTTATTCTGCACCTCTCCTCGGTCCCTCGTTGGGGCCAATTATCGGTGGTGCACTCACACAGGGCCTCGGCTGGCGGGCGGTTTTCTGGTTCCTAGTCATCTGGGGAGGTATAATATTCTCGGCATTCCTTTTCTTGTTCAAGGACACCTTCCGGAAAGAAAGGAGTGTGACGTACCAGAATGTATTGAAGAGGAGACTTCGAGATCAACAATCGTTAGAGGCAAAGGACGACTCGCGAAACGTTTCGGAGAAGGAAACACAAGTGAATGGCGATAACCAGGCGAGTCCAAAAGACATTGAAGCACAGCCGACGGTCATACCAGCATCAGCCATCAGAGAAGTAAAGCTATCCATTGCTGATGTCAACCCTTTCCCTCCATACCTATCGATTCTCAGCCGCAAGAACAACTTTGTTATCTTGATAGCATCAGGTGAGTGTCGTGTCCTCAGTTATCTTTTCTGAATAATTCTCATGTCCTTTTGTACTAGGTTTAATTTTTGCATTTAGCTTCAGCATTGCATATACATGCGCTAGAACATTGTCGATGTATTATAATTACGATGCTTTGAAGACCGGCCTCGTCTTACTTGCCTTTGGCATTGGTAAGCGAATCACAAACAAACTACGAGCACCTGCCTGACGCATTTATCCCAGGCTCTGTAAGCGGCAGCATATTAGGTGGACGTTGGTCCGATCGGACACTTGCTCGGCTAAAGGCAGCAAACGGAGGGATCAGCTTTCCAGAGGTGACCACTATTTCAACCTCTATCTCCATGTTTGACGCGAACCTGTGCAGATGCGCCTCGAGAGTACGAAAGTTGCCATGGTGTGGTTACCTCTTTCCGTGATTGGATATGCTTGGGTGTGCCAAGAACGGGTCAACGTCGCTGCGATATGTGTGATGCTCTTCTTCGCAGGATTTTTATCCATGTATGTTTCTTCCGTGTTGCACTGTTATTTGCTCTCATCCGCGCGCGATAGATGGATCTACACGAGCACACTGGCATACATCGTCGATGCAAACACCGGTCGCTCATCGACGGCAGTAGCGACCAACAGTTCTTTCCGCGGTCTGTCTGCTTTTGTTGCTGCTGAGATTGCTATTCCTCTACAAGTGAGTCAGAGTTATAAGAGCTTGTGGAAGATCTGAAGTTGGTTTAGGATAGCATTGGCGACGGTGGTCTGTATACGCTATGGGCGGGGCTAATGGTCGTTGCTGATTGTATTATCTTACTGGTGTTGTACAAAGGCAGGAAGTGGAGAGAAGCCAGTGCTGAGCGGGAGAAGCAGAAGCTGGATGGCAAGTAGACTTGAAGTAGACAATCAACATGACTTCTGAAGTTCCGATAGATCATAGATGAGGATAGACCTTATCATATTACCAGAATTAACCATTTCAGTATAGAATCGTCGAAGGCTCGTTCGCCGTCGATTGCAGCTAACTAGCTAGGATGTCGCGGAGTTGACTGTCATCAAATTCATTTGCCAGTGACGGATCCCAAGTCCGTGTTAATGATAGTCACTAGTGGACTTTTACGGTCATCTGTATTGAAAATGAACGTGCGTGGTTCAATCAATGATATCCGACAAACTTCCTAGAAGCCATCACAACGCTAATCCCAAAGCTCATGAACTATTGAAGGTGAATCATTATCTGATCGACATCATGACTTCTACATACAAAATATCAACCTGGCCGCCATAAATAGTTAACAAGAAACGAGTCTAGGAACCAATAAGTAGAATAAAGAAGTAAACGAAACCTTTCATGCCCTGTGGTCTGCATCTTTCACCAAAGCACGCGTAGGATGAGGCACTAGTAGTGGAAGAAAACTAGTACATGAGGTTACCAACTGCAGACGGAGTCCCGTCGTCGTTGTAGAGGCACGACCCGGTTCCGACATATGTGACATCAGAAGGTTGGTTCGCTTGCAAGAGCGCTGGCGAAGTTGCTACGAAGGGGAAGTAAAGCTGAACGTATGATGCCCCGTCAAGGAAAGGGAATGCCTGTTGGAAGGAGGCCACCCTACACAATACATAAGAGCATGAATGGGGCAATAAAAGAGGTATTGCATCGCAGCTTACTAATCGGATTGACCACCTGCAGGGTTCTGAAGAGCAAACTCTGTGATGACGAGTTGATAATTCTGGGGGCTTGCTGTTGAGACATATATAGCGCATGCACAAAGAAGACTTACGGGAAATTGGTTATGCGCTGATTCTATGTAGCTCTGGAATTCTGCAAAGGATGTTCTGCGATTCGAAATTCGAGTGAGGTGGGGAGATGGACCAAACAAGCTCTTGCTACGTACCCATACCAGTGCTGAAAAATAGAAACTGAACGTCAAACAGAATCGGATCGCATACAATCACGCACCAAGTTGATGTAATCAAAATAGCACTGTCCTGCACAAGCGCTAATCATTTGAGAGACCCAGCTAAGACCCTGTCCAGATGTTGCGCTGGAGGTAACAGCAGGGAGAGCCTTCTTGATCGCCTAAAATCACGGACAAATATGACATAAATCTGAAGAAGAATTGACCCGGTAAGAACTTACCAATGGGTTGATATATTGGATATACCAAGAAGCAGCCTGACTTGGGGTAATGCCGTTGATATCGGGTTCGTTCAGCGTAAAGACGGCTGTGAAGAAACGGGTCGAGCTTTTGTCTTTTCATTAATGAGTAATGACGAACTGGCCCAGCCTTGTGATGCTTGACGTGACGCCAGATCTGCGATAGGACTGGATGAGCAGTCGGTGCAGCGCTACATGCCAATGAATCCGAGGCCACCGTTTCCATTAGTGGAAGGCGGAGGGTATGTTTCATAATCGTAGCTGTTTACTGCTAGTGAGACTGCAAACGTGAAAATTCATCTAGCCTACATTGCAACAACCTGTCCATCTCCGTTGTTGAAAACACCAAGATCGCTGAAGGGAGACAAGTCAGTGAACCTGATAAAACATGAAATGTGAGCCTATGTACAGTGATCCATCGACTGTTCAGATATGGCGAGCAAAATGCGCCTGCACTCGTGACTTGAGATGAAACTCACAGTAAGTCCAGCATAAGCCTCGCTTTCCAGCGAGAACGGTAGTTGCGAAGAGTAGTGCTACTGCAAGTCTGGCGAAGGTCAACATGGTCGAGAATATGCCATGAAGTAGCGCATATCAAGCATATTTATACTTTCAAAAGCGGCGCCCAGCATCCTCAGGGAATGACAGATGCTGCTTTAGGGCATATGCTTTGACAACAAGAGCATCAGCATATCAGCGCTACGACGGATACGTACCTGAATTGGCATGTGGCCTGCTTGAAAAATAATACTAGTAAGCACGGTGGTCCCAATGTATACTTTACATACAAACTGTAATGAACCGATATAGCGCGTCCGATGGTCACCCATTCGTCTCTTTATTTGATATGGAGACGAGCTCGGAGAGATGCCAGCGTGGCGGTAACAACGGAACTATGTGAGAGCGGCCTCTGAAGACGAGTTATGGACGTCATCTCAGCAGGCCAGTACGACATCATTGATGGCAGAGTAGAAAATTGGATATACCTTATGTTTACATGACAATAAGTACAGCATGAAGAATGGACGGATGATGGCAACTGATCCTCATAGACAAGAGACGCCACTATCAGCTGTGTAAAATATGATGGATTATGGATAGAAATTACCACTACTGTACCGAGAAATGGAGCCAGGAGTTACCTCGTTATGAGCCCTATGCTTAAGTTTTTGATGGCATAGTATACTGGCGAGCGCGGGCGGCGTGAATCATTTGGTAGTTATTCGAACGTTCAAGCAGCTCTTCAGAGGGTTAGAACTTAGCAGACTCGGAGCAAGAGGTCTGGCCAAGGTTTGGCACATCAGTAAAAAAAATACATGAGGGGGCCCTTGATTCCGTACCACTACCATGGACGAAATTCCCACGCAAAATTTTTGCGGGCAAGGTAGAGCCGTCGCAGCTCACAGTACCAACTGGCCATGAATCAAATAAACACCTTAGAAACGAAACGAAACTGAACTCTCCGATACTACATAGTCCGAAACCCAGCCTATATAACCACATCAACGCGAATAAACTCCCCACATACCCAAACTCAACCAAGTACAACGCCCGAAGAAAACCAGAACGAGGCAGTCAAACTACCCGAACACCAGCCATACGTCAAACTACAACATATGAGACAAAAGACCACACACAACCCCAGAAGGAAAACTGAAAACTGAAAACTGAAAACCCGTCCCAATCACCCAACCGGACCACACCCATCACGCACATATAAACTAAAAACATAATAAAGTGCACGGAACACGAAATACCCGACAAAACACAACGGCCCAAGTACGTGTACCGCCTACTGAACACAACGAGTGTAATAAGAACCCCTACCTCCCCTCATCCCGCAACAGCATATGCAACCGAGACACATGTAAGCCAGCCCCCACCCAAACGCCCTGATAAACAAATGAACCTAAGCCATAAAGAGAACACAGCCTACCTCAAACTACCATAATGAAGCTATAAGGTAACGCCCCTCACCCTCACCCTTACCCGAAAACCCCAGTATAAAAGACCCCCCCCTCACCAGCAGTAATCCCCAACCTGCTCACAAAGATGAAGGACATATCCAGCGTAAAAACTGCGAACCTCAATGCCCGCCCCTCTCCTATGGGCATCCGCCAGTCCCTTCACAGACATCAGCGAACAGGCTCACAATTCTTCCCGCCCAACGTCCTAACAGACGAAGGGGAATGCACCGCAGAGGGACTATCCCCCCCTGATACCCCATCACCATCCCCCCGCCCACACATCGAGCGAATCCCGCCCTCAGAACCTGAGGAGAATGAGACGACCCCAACCACCAACTCCCTCACCCTCACAAAGGACTTAGAGGTAGAGATGCCCCTCGATACCCACCCCCAAACCCCTGCGCAGACCCCCGCCCCCACGGAAGATGAAGCAATGACAGACCTACTCGTCTCTACACCCAACCCAACCCCAGCTCGTACCCAACTTCCTGCAACATCACAAGCATCTGAGGAAGACCTTCTCCGAGCTCACCTAGCGGTCGCAGAGACGAATCGCTCCATCATTAAGTCCAACGGCATTAACTCACTCACGGTCATCCCCCAATTCACACCCACCCCAATTGGTGGCTTCCCCCATATTCACTTGGCCCACGCAGCACAGCTATTCGATTTCCAAGCGGCAAAAGTCATCACCGCATGGCTCAAGGTACCCCACCCCAAGATCCTTGTGAGAGTCTTTGACCACGACGGGAAAAACCCCTCTGTTAAAGGCCCAATACTAGTCGAACGCCTACGCATAGCGGTAGCTGAGATCGCTCACTTCGTCCACCAAGACGACCAAGAAGTGAAAGTCTCCCCACCCTGCCCAGAAGCCATCAAAGAGGGCTCTGACCACCCCCTCAGTTTCCTGATCTACAACATATCAGACGAAACAAAATCACTCATTCTAGACCAACGAATCTGGTCATCAACCGAAATCACCTTCGCAGCTCACCAATTCAAAGTCAACTCCCCTCCATTACTCCTCTTCTGCCTCCACGGCTTCTCGACCACAGACATAGCAACCGTCAGAACGGCCGTCTACGAAGCATGGTCGGATGACGTCACCAGATGGGACATCTGTGACATCCTATCCGAAGGGGATCTCCCTGAAGACAAAGTCCACACCGCAGCATGGGACTTCATCAGATCACTATGGATAGAGCGCCTCGACTTCAAGGTCAGTGGAGGCATCCTCCTCCCACGGTACAATGTGTTCGCGATCAGCCCCACCAATAATCCCTCAGTCTGGACGAAGCTAAGAGCCTACCTTCACTCCCTAACCTACCCATCTGAACTCGAAGGAAATGGCACGGCAGTCAACTTCATGCCCTGCCCCCTCTGCCACTCAATTGCCCACCCCCGCGGCCTCTGCCCGTTCCCAAACATCCCACTTTGGAACGGACCCAAACACAACACGACCGTGAGACACAACAATATGAGCCAAAGAGGTAGAGGCAAAGGGAGGAGAGCCCCCGCCCGAGAACTCACTTACTAGCTGACACACATACTTGCCACCCCGCCCCCGTGATACTATAGCTAACTTGCACATATGCATACATCATGTAACTACGTACTTGAATAAACCCCCCTCACAAAAACCTAAATGATGCAAAGGTGCGCACGACCCTGACAGCAGCCACAAACCGCATCAATTGGATCTACAGGGCTAGATCCAACCAACCCCTTCACCTGCGGCCCAAATTTACTGATTGCGGAAGCGAGACAGGAAAGCCAAAGGAGCCCTAACGGCGTATGCCAAAACGGAGGCCTATTCAGGCCAAGGATTAGCCGTGCTGAGAAGCTGAAGTGACCGCAGAAGACTCAATGAGTACAGGACTCGTTTTTTCAGATAGCGTGAACATCTATCCACCGTGGCTGCCCGGGATATGACAGCCCTCGCCTCTTAATGGTCGTTCAGATGGCGTAGTAGTTCGACCACTCAGCAAACTTACAATCAAAACTCACTTTACGGTTCTTTTCCCGGCCTTGGTTCGAGCCTCCTGAGCAGCAGAGGGGGAAGCCCTCAAACCGCCGGGGCCAACCCAGATGACGCTACACAGGAGATTGGAGGCGGACCCCCAGCTCCAACGCCACACCAGGCAGACAACAACAATAGAGACACACCTCACATCAGAAAGAAAAAGAAAACGAGAGCTAACATTCTTCTCGCTACCCTGAACATGAAGGGCCGTGCATCCCCCCAACTAGGGAACAGTGAAATATCAAAATGGTCAACAATACAACACATTATGAGAGAGAAAAAGATAGGCATACTATGCGTCCAAGAAACGCACCTACTGCCTGAACACGAAACACGAATAAGTGAACTATACTCACGAAGAATCAAAGTCATAAACTCGAGAGACCCACACCACCCAGGTAATTCGGCAGGGGTAGCAGTAGTGATCAACACTGAAATCTTCAACCCGAATGAACTAGAAACGACAGTAATCATCCCCGGCAGAGCCTTGGCACTTAAAACAAAATGGCATAACACACACCTGACCATCGCCAACATATACGCCCCAAACAACCACACGCAACACGCTGAGTTCTGGAACAAAATATCAAGAACCTGGCAAGAAAAATGTCTACCCAATCCAGACTTCATGATGGGAGACTTTAATATAACAGAAGATGCACTTGACCGAGCCCCAGCCCGCCCTGAAAACGAACAGGCACTAGACGCCCTCCGAGACCTAAGATTCCAGATCAACATACAAGACACCTGGCGAATTAACAACCCATCATCACGTCTCTTCACATTTTACAGCAATACAAACTCACATTCACGCCTAGACCGCATATACACATCGCCAAACCATGAACGCAACATATTTGGATGGGACTCGTGCACCTCGGCCGTACCAACGGACCACAGAATGGTCCTCGTAAGATTTGCTCCATCAGACACACCTTTCGTTGGAAAAGGCCGCTGGTCCTGGCCAATAAGCCTGATAAACGATCAAAAACTCATTGAGAACATCAGCAAAGCAGGAAAACAAATACAACAAAAGATAACCCACCAACAAATTCGAAGATCACAATCAGAAAACCCACAGCGAACTTGGGAGGAATTTAAATCACAAATCCGTCAGCTCGCAAAAATAACAGCAAAAGAACACCTGAATAAAATCAGAACAAGAACCAAACAACTCGAAAAAGACCTACGAAGAACGGTAGCAAACAACGACATAGACAACAACGAAAACACCCGACGACAAAAAGCCTGGATCGAAAGTGAGATAAACCACCTAGAACAAAAGAGTTTCAAAAAGAAACAACAACACTCACAAGCGAAATGGGCAGCGAAGGGTGAAACCATGAGCAAATACTGGTCGAGAATCAACAATAGTAAGACACCTCGCGACATAATATATAAACTAAAGATACCCAACCAAAACCGATTTGCCTCCCGTTCCGACCAGATGGCTGAAATAGCACGATCTTACCACGAGAACCTACAAAAAGACAACATGTCCGAACAAGAAGCAGAAATGAGGCAAACAGAAATACAAAACACAATGAGCGAGATCCCGCAATCCCAGAAACTATGGAACGACGACTCACCACTACACAACCTCCTAAAAGAAAACCATATCCAGGAAGCCTTGTATGCCTCAAAGGCAGGTAGCGCCGCCGGAATAGACGGAATCCCATACGAGATCTGGAAAAACCTACACGAAAAACACATCAACGATCAAAAGAAAGAACTACCTAGCTTTAACATAATCAAAACTCTCACACTAGTAATAAACGACATCCAGGAACATGGCGTCGATGACAATACAGACTTCACCCTGGGATGGATGTGCCCCATCTATAAGAAAAATGAGCGCACAGAAATAAAGAACTACAGACCTGTAAGGCTGCTATTGAGTTCGACGGGGATTGTACCCTTGGTGTCGGAAATGAAACTGACGCGAGAGTTAGAGAGAGTATGATAACGAGCGGATCGGGATTCAGAGTAGAGGACTCTCAGAGGGATGGACTGCGTGCATCTAGTGGGAAGATAAAGATTCTCTGTTGAAAAAAATGTACATGGTTGTATTTAAGTTGCGAGAGTGTAAGGGTCCTCGCTGTTACGAGATTGAAGGTTTTTGTGAGACGGAAAATAGGTGGCGCTGCGCCTGACAGGGTAGAGCTGCGGGAATGAGTGAGGGTACGAAATATTTGAATGAAGGTGGTATTAGGTGGCTTGCCGTGCACAGGAATAACGAAAGTTTCGTAGCGGCTTGACTGTTTTTAGGGCAATAGAGTGAAAATGAGACGAATTAACGAGAGAAAGGGTTTGTGAATGTCCAGGGTTTCGTATGAGGGTGAGTGAAGGACCGATCTAGTTGTCGACGATAACGAAACATGAAGGTAAGAAAGGAGGATGTATCCGCGTGACTCGGATGCGAAGCGTAGTGCTTCTTCGCATCAGTGAGTCACATGGCTGACTGGACACGTGTCCTTATGTCTCGTTGAGAAGGTATAGTCGGGGTGTACAGGATATGCGATCCTTACATCCCCTCCTTACTTCGAATATCGACCGCCCTCGGTCGATCTACCAACGATTTAACTAAAAAAAAAAAAAAAAAAAAAAAATAGTGCATAGTAAGATAGCAAAAGTTCAAGTAAAACGAGAGTGTAGAAGAGTATGAACGCATCTAGTTTTGTTCGTCCGTTGTTCCTGCAAGGGCGTGAGGATCAATGAATTGTGTGACTTCAATGGAGGAGGAGGAGCGAGGGTGGTATGGTATGAGACGAAAAGCAGCATATTTGAGTTTGGACACACTGCCGTCGAGCTCTGCGAGTCGATATGAGCTGCCTAGGGAACGTGAGATGACGACCATCGGTCCGAAATAGCGTGGTTTGCATTTGGCGTTTGACGCCGCTTCAATCTTCTTATTGAGGACAAGGACGAGATCGCCTTGCTTGAATGCGTAGTCGTGGATGGTATTTGCGAAACGACGCTCGAAGTTGCGGATGGATGTAAAGCGACTTTTGAGTATACGCGCGTGCATGTCAGCGAAGTCGTCATCTCGCTTGGCTAGTTGCCGGCAGCGTATGGCCAATAATTCAGTGGTGGAGAGTTGAGATGTGATATCAGGGAGGAGAAAGGTGGCTTCGGTGATGTCGAAGGGAAGGAGAGGCTCAATGCCATGCGCCATGAAAAACGGACTGTGACCTGTGGATTTCCGCGTGGTAACTCGGTCAGCCCAGAAGACATGGTGAGCTAGAGTGGGCCATTCAGTAATGTCACCGTTGCAGGCTTTTACAAGCGAGTCGCGAATGGTGCGGTGTGAGCGTTCGACAACACCGTTGGCCTTCGAATTATATGCCGAGATCCGGATGTGCCGAATGTGATACTTTTGGGCGAGCCAGTCAAGCGCGGAGACAAAGGGCGTCCCGTTATCGGTTACTATCTCCTCAAGTCCTCCCCATCTACACAAGATCTCTTCAAAAATAAATGCACCCAAGGTGCGTCCCGTTTCTTTTCTCAACATCCTAAACTCTGGCCAATTCGTCAAGGAACAGCGTGCTTGAACGATGTACGAATATCCGTGAGATGCTGGCATATACATGGAGTCGGTGAAGGCTTTGCGGAAGAGAGGAGCCGGGATCGAGACAGTCGGAGGGAGTATGACCTTCTCGTTGGACCGAATTTGACATTGGTGGCATGTTTTTAGGTACCAGGCGAGATCAGTGTCAAGAGAGGGCCACCAAACGCGATCTGCGATCGTTCGTCGCGTGGCATAGAAACCCTTGTGTCCGAGTTTGTCATGAGTGTCGTTGAGGATGCGATATCGATCTGGTAAGAAGACGACTAGCTGGTTGCGTCCTGATGGCTCCTTTCGCCAAAGGCGAGATCCCTGGAGGAAAAACTGTCGAGCGCGCTTGAGAAGGCGTCTCTGATCCTTGATGGGTAAGTCAGCTGGAAAGGATAGTGTGTCGAGATAAGTCTGAATGGTGGAAAGGTCGTTGTCGAGGCGGCGAGTGCTGTCGTTGCTAGGGATTTCAACGAGTGAGTGCAAGCTCGAAGTAAGGACCAGGGCATTGAAAACTCTTCCAGTGAACCATTCCTCATCAACCTCCCTTGCTATCCACAACCCGCATCCCAGTATCTCGTCAACCCACTTTTCAACTTCTTCTGTCGTCTCTTCTCCATCGTCGTCGTCTTCAGGTGCTGCGGGGCGTCGGGATAAGCCATCTGCTGCAACGTGTTTGTTGCCAGGAACGTGTCGAAGAGTAAAGTCAAAAAGGGAAATTCCGGTGATCCAACGATTGACAGCGGCGTTAGGTTGAATATCGGGATTGTTGAGCATGCCCCGAATATACTTTGCGTCTACCTCGATAGTGAAGCGTTTGAGTCCTATGAGCCACACTTTCGCTGCCTTGAGCGCTCTGAAGAGTCCGTACAATTCAATTTTCGCTTGAGAATATCGACACTCTCGCTCGTTCCAAGTAATTGACCCGAATCTTGCAGGTCGCCGGCGGTTCTCGCTATCGAGCTGAAACAGGATCCAACCGCAAGCTATGTGCGAGGAATCTACGGCTAAGATGACTTCATGCGGGGAGGAGTAATCAATGGGGCGAATAGCAGGAGAACATGTGATGGCGTCTTTGATGGTGTCCATGGCTTTTTGGGCATAGGTGTCCCAATTGAATTCGACGTTAGCACGGGTGAGATTTGTCAACGGACGAGTGATGGTAGCATAATCTCTAATCCAGTTGCGAACGGTACCTGCGGTCCCGAGAAATGCACGAACTTCGGTTCTAGTTGTGCAGGGAGGCCAATTCCTGATTTTTGAGACCTTCGTCTTGTCCGGGATGCGTCCGTCGTAATTGCAAAGCTGTCCGACGACAAGGACTTCAGGTACGCACAAAAATAACTTCTTTGCTGAAACAGTAGCACCTGCGTGCTTGAGTCGGTGCAGGACTCGATTGACGTCTACGCAGTGCTCCCATACGAATCTACGTATTCCGGCATTCTCGGGGATGAGCTCAAATGATCCGTCTTTTGTCTCGTAACGGGTGTGAGGTCCGAGGACGTTCACATCGTCCTGGAAATTGGGTGCGACGTCGAGTTCGGCTTGAAGGATGAATGCCACGTCATTCTGGAACACCGCTGGAGAATCGGTCCAACCTTGGGGAAGGACTGTGAGACGATAAGTGCCGAGGGGAGTTTGGAAGGTGGTGATATCACGGGATTCTTCAGCGAGAGCGCGGTGGTCGAACCCAACGAACAAGTCCATCATTGTATATATAGCGCGTCCCGCACATTGTTCTGCAAAAAGCTCTACGTAAGGCATAGTTGCTGCGTCTTTGACAGTGACGGAGTTGAGTTGTTGGAGATCATGGACTATGCGAATGGTTCCGTTCTTTTTCGCAACGCAGAACCAACGGGATTGGTATGACGAGTTCGAGGGTTCATAGACGCCCGACGCTATCTTTGACTTGATAAGTTTGACGACTTCTTCCTTGATCCCGGGTGGGATGGGTGGCTGACGGTGTGTCCAGGGAATGTGCTCGATGGTGGGGATAACAACTGGAGGGAAGTAGTCGTCGCGAAAGCGGCCTTTCTCCGTCTCGTCCCATGCGAGAGCTACTTCGTTGTTGGTTAGGATTTGTGCCGCGAGTTTTCGTTCTTCCGGCCATAGGAACTCGTTTTGGAGTACACCGAGCTCGTTCATTCGTTCCTTCGTGAGTCGTTGACCAGGTGTGAATCCTGAAGGAGTTGGGGAAAGGGGAGGGAGTGAAAGGAGTGGATCCTCTGGAAATTTGCGAATGATGCGGGCATGTGCGGGCATAGTGGTAGGGACAGGTCTGACTTTATTGGCAACTTTCTTGTAGGCGAAGGAGCGGCGTACTGGGTCGATGACGAAATGCTCTTGGAGAAGGAATTCAGAGAGGGAGGAAAGGGTGAGGCGAGAAGTGGGGATAGCATGGTATATGTCCATCGAACTGGTAGGCCTGGTAGCATGGTAAATGTCCGTCGAGCTGGCCGGTTTGATAGCATGGTAAATGTCCGTTGAACTGGTCGGCTTGATAGCATGGTAAATGTCCGTTGAACTGGTCGGTGGAGTGCGCAGGGTGGACAGAGCGGCGAAGAAGGTTCGAGGGGAGAAAGCGGAAGCAAGTACTGAAGCTGTTAATGCGAGGGAGGGGTGAGGCCAAGGCCGTGGGGTGGTTTTGACTGTGCGAACTATATTCGGATCCCTGGGATCATGTACTGAGACGTGGACATTTTCAGTGTCTTCAGCTTTGGAGAGACGGACCAGCCGTTGCCAAGGTCGACCCAATAGTAGACGATACGGGGCATCTGGTACGACGTAGGCATGAGCCCAGGTTTTGATTCCCTCAACATCTATTTCCAACATTTCTAGACACCCAGCCATCTCTTGAGACCCTCCGTTAGCCGTTTGCATGCGCATCCTTACGTTCTGGTTGATGGGTGCGTTCGTCTTCCTCCAAACATCTTCACGAATTACGACAATCTCCGATCCTTCGTCCAACAGTCCAAGCTCGGAGTGAGTTCCATTCAACATGACACTAATCTCTCGTAGTGGCGTAGCATGCTCGATTTGCAAGGGAGGGGGACTCGTCAAGCTGGTTGTGAGCGCGTTTTCAGGATGGATGGGGGCGATCGTGGGCACTCGTTGGGTGCGCGAATAGTCAACGGCTTCCTTTCTTAGGTCCGGACTTATTGAAAGAAGATCGGATATGGTTAGGTGAGGGATGGGGGTGTTGAGGATAGTCTCGTAGAGACGTTTTGCTGCGTCAGGTACGGCTGCTCTCGATTCGTACCTGAAGGCTGGCTCTTTCCTTACTTCAGCATTGGCGCTCTCGCCGATATCAGAGGATGTTGGAGGGGTAGGGGTTGTTACGGAAGTAGGGTTTGAGGCTGAACGCGTGGTGGATGTGGCCGTGGGGATTGAAACAGAACGCGTGGCGGGCG